TTTTAAACGTAAATATGACAAAATATGTATTAACATTAATTAGAAAGAAAACCCACCGCAGCAAAAATGTTTGCAGCAAACCTTTAGTTGTACATTATTATTGTATTCGATATAAAAATCGTTATTTTACGAACCCTCAAATCTCTGTCCCAACTTAAATCGTCTTCATTCGGGTTGAGAGCACGTTACTATTGTTTTCTTACAATTTGATTGCCTGGGAACTTGTGAAAAGAAAGGTTTCACTTCTTTTTCGCCTAATTCTGACAAGAATTCATTCAACTCATTTGAACCATTGTATCATAAACAGTTTTTGTATTAATTTTCAGCAATATTGATTGATACTGATTGATTATTGAGGTTAGCTTAAATACGTCAGGGTCAGACCGTGTTCAGTAAATTGACGATTTAATTATCTGTCACCCACAAGATGCGCGCGCAGCACAGGGGTCGTATTTTCGAAACCATGCGAATTCTTTCGCATGCGATTTAATTCGAATGAAAAATGTCGTGTACGAACTAAAATGCGCATTTTTGAAGACCCTTCGAAAATTATATCGTATACGAGTATTATTTGCGTTGACAACGTCGCAAATTCGAGTATTTGATAATGGCCATTTCGACAGATACAAAAACGAAGAAGATTTTTTTGTTATCTGACTTTTTAAATGCTGGTATATATCTTGCTGAAATAAATTTCGTGCACCTTATCGTTGGGATTTCCTATTTAGAACATCCTTGCTTTTATAACGTTAATGAACAATCATGGTTTTTGGATGGGGCTCTAAAAGCTCTATCAACTCCAAGGTGAGTAGCTTCGTCAGGCGATATAATTTTCGGAACTAAGTACCTACCTACACCAATGTTCTTCCAGCGGATCAAGAAAGGGATGTAACAGCCTATCCCTACGATCTGCCAGTATTTTTGCTTCTTCGAGGGCATCAATAACATTTCTTTCGATTAAATAATCCAAGCTAGCCATTCCAAAAACTGTCTTTTAATAAAGCAGGACAATTTAATTCACAAATTATTTGGAAACGAATGAAAAGTCAAAAGGAGAAGGAACAACGAACACAATTTTGAATTTGAACAACGTATTTAGGTACATAAACAACAAATGTAACGTATATAAACAAAATAAGCTCTTCAAAATTGCAAACAGTGCGCAGAATGAATAAAATCGCATGCGAAATGTGAAATTCGACTGGTGGAGACCCACTCGAGTAAACGTACACGAACCAAATCGTGTACGGACCGTTCGAAAGCGATTCGAAAATACGGAAATTCAATTTTCATGCGAATTTCGCCTTATTTCGTATACGAACGGCATTCGAATGGTTTCGAAAATACGACCCCAGGTAAAATGAGAAAGGTTCATTGTGCTAAACCCTTCATATTTCGAAATCTTATTGACTAATGTTTCAATTTTTGGAAGCGGATCGGCGTCTAGTAGAGTAAATTTGTTGATGTTCTGTGAAGAATATATGCACATACGTCGTTTGCGATTTTCAATGTGAGTGACTAAAACTTGAGCTCGCCATGGAAAATTGCTTTCTTCAATAATGTTTTCTTCCCAAAGATTCTTGATTTCCTGCTTTATAAATTATTGATTCTCAGCTGAGTGTCTGAGTGAGTTGGTGATGATACGTCTACGATTTGTAGTGAAGTTTAAAAACAAGGATGGCGGTTCAACTTTTGCTTCCATCAAACATCAAAAACATCAAATTGATAAGGGAGGTTTGTCCCCTCCAAACTGAACTTCTACACGACAGTGTTGTTTCATGATATCATGACCAATCACAAGATCGGCACACAGATTAAAAGTACAGATATTTTGTAATTCCTGTATGTTGACTCAAACAAATCGATGTCGACTAACCAGTAACCTTTAATAGGAGAAAAACAAGTTGAAGATGTCGCCATTAAAACTTGACCTTGGCTAGGATTGATTTTGATATTATGACGAATTGCAAAATTATAATGCAGGAAACTGTCGGAACTTCCAGTATCTATTAGAGCATGAGCGCTTCTGCCGTTTATTTTTGCTTCAAGACTTGCTTTTGATAAGCGCGGATGAACTGTTGAAGCAGAAGCCATCACATAAGTGGAGACCGAGGTGGAGGCTGAAGTAGGTTTTGATTTCGAATGTTTAGGCTTTAAACAAAGTTGCAAAATGCCCTAAGTTTTGACAGTTTTGGCATGTTGCGTTTCGAGCAGGACATTGATTTCTATGATGTCTGGGATTTCCGCAAAAGTAGCAGTTCACTGCAGATGTAGTAGCGGCAGAAGATGGTAATTCACTTCTTATTTCGGGACAATAAGACGAAGAACTTGGTGAAAGATATTGTTGTGTTTGGTTCTTGGCCCCTTCCAAAGTACGCGATTTATTTATAGCTTCTTCTAATGTTAAAGTCGAGTTTTCGAGAAGTCTTTGACGAATTTCATTTTGATGTAATCCATCAATGAACGCGTCTTTTATACAATCATCTCTGTTTTGATCTGCACTCACTGCTTTGTATAATTACAATTTTTGGCAAGCAGTTTTAGGGATTGAACGTACTGATCGATAGTTTCGGATGATTGTTGCTTTCTAGTATTCAGATTGTGTCTGGCAAAAACTTCATTAACTTGCTTAACATAAATTCCTTCAAGAATTGTGGTAGCTTTATCGAAATTATCGCATTCACTAATATACTCGAAAACATTGTGTGATATAAAGTTAACTAAGAGTCTGAGCTTGTCACAGTTAGTAAGTTTTTTCTCTTTGCAGTTATCGGATTCGTCCAGGAAGTTGGATGTTTGCAGCCAGTGTTTCCATTCTTTTTCGGCCGATGAAGAAGTCGGGTTGATTTCGAATCATTCTGGTCTCAAAAATTTGTCCATAACAGTTTCTATTTTAGTTCTATATGCTGATTAAATTGTGATGAATAAACCTTCGGATTTCAAGGCTTTCATCAGATTCAATGACAACTACCTATTTAACTGAAAGTCAGATTAACAATTCAACGGTTTTGAGTTGATGCTGTCAGTTCACAGGAGCACCGGGAGAATCGTATTGATTTGCTTTTTTTTTAAGGCTGAATACGAGTTAAGCACGTTAAAAATAAACCCCATTTTTGAAGGGAAAACTTGAATTCAACTGTTTTGAGACATTTAATAGCCTAGTGAGCTGCCCAACTAATGTTGCAAAACAGTCGCCCTGTATGCAAAGGGCCCAGTCGATGTAAAAAACAACGACGTAACTTCAATTATTGCGGTTGCAATTAAAATATAAGTAGGTAGGTACTCATAGAATTACGATTTCCCAGCACTTTTTAAAATATTCCTTGCTATGCTTACTTCACAAGTTGGCACCTCCTGAATCTAATGACATAATATAAGTAGTAGGTATATTCAATTTCCTCTCTTATTTTCTCGGTTTCCCAACTATTTGCACTTTCTACATTGTTTTTTTCTAGATAGGTAGGTACCTATATATTTTTTTCCGGTATCCTAATTGTAATGTTTATAATATTGTTATTCTTCTATAATAATTGTTTTAACGTAATAACGTAGTAGCAATGCTTTCTGTTCAGGATTTAGGAAACCTTTCCTGGTGTCAATATTTTTGCGAACATTTTCGGCAAATGTATTTTTCATATTTCGCTTAATTTAGGTCATCTCTACTTCTATTTCATCTCCGGCTTGTTAAGTAATAATCTCCGTCGCCATAGCTTTTTTTATTATTACGTTATTAACTATTATGGTTCTGTATCCATCGCTTCGGCTCTTGTATTTGTTTTTTTGTATCATTCTTATTAATCCCAACATTGCGCCCATTCTTTTATTATGTAATACTCCTTCGTTAATTTTATCACAAGCTTATCTCATGATAGATGTTTTTGTATTTTTTGCTTCGCCTAAATCATCAATTACTCTAATAATTGAATAATACCCAAACAAAACATAACGAAATCCGCTCAGATAATTATAGATAATAACACTTACAAGAGTTATTACTCTCTTTTATTATTAAAGCGTATGGCTTTATAAATTAATTATAACCATTTATTAACATTCTTCGACTATCAATGAAAACTATCAGTCGGACAGTAAGTGAAAGTAATATTATTATTCTGATTGATTCGCTTCGAGCGATTCAGCATTCCGAAAATCTTCTTTTTGGTAAAGCCGACTGAAGAAATGCGACCTGTTACGGAAGAAATTGCGCTAATGTTACTTTCTTTCGAGGCCACACCTCTACACATGTCTAACTTTTCGTCTGACTGGTGATAAAATTCACATAATTTTTTTCTTAGTCGTACCTACATATAGTATACTATAAGTATAGTATCCATCAAGTCATGAATAAACAATGGAAAGTATATAATTGTTGAAATGAAAATAGATTTGGGTTTGGTTTCTACTGACAGATAAAATCCCATAGAGAATTGGAGGATGTTTGAAAGATTATTAGCTTTCTACAATGTAAATAACTCGTATCGAAATAGTTAAATAAACATCAAGTGAAAATGAGGAAATGATTTATAGGCATCCGGAGTATAGTTTTCAAATTGATTACGACATAGCCACATATGATTTTCTAAATAGGTGGGTACCAAAAATGTTAAATTTTCAATAGATAAATTGCACTTCAACGTGATAGGATCATTAAATGAATGTATTAATCATGTTGAGAATCGAAATCAGCAGATCGGAATTTTTACTTTCCCAAAAACTAATAAATATTTTAATCGAACTAGCAACAAGTAAAATACGAGCCCTAGGTTATAAATCTCTTTTAAAGTTAATTAAACGGCCATATGATGCTTAATTTGAGGACGATAATAACTTTCACATACAAACCGCATCATTACCCAGCACGGCAGACGGCGTGGTACCTACATTTGGCCACTATTCATTAAATAAATGATTATTATTCTGTAATGTATTATAATACACATAAACTATATGTACATATATTTTTTTCTTATTATCTCCGCATTTTATTATAAGCTACTTACGATGATAAAAGCCTGTCCATCTTCTTTTCCATGAAAACAGTTTCATCGGGATGCTGTTGTAGCATCGCATGGCAAAATATTTGTTTTGAACATGGAGTGTCTGCCCAAAATTCTGGATTCATCAAACCATTTAGTTTATTTGATTTTTCCGCTTGTTCAGTTAATTGCAAATAATCATCTTCAATAAGAAGACTTCTTTTGAAACGCTGATGTAGATCCTGCACGTTTCTGCAGCACAACATTAATATTTATAATAATTGCAAATAAGTGAAGAATTACTTTTTATACCTCTTTTGAATAGCTTCCTTATACGAATCTTCTTGGTTGTGCGGATCTTCCATAATCAACACAATATTGTTGGGATTAATTTCTTGAAGTTGTGGATTCAAGCCTTGCATTGCTCTCATGCTTTCTACAGGACTGAAAAATCTTCCCATGGCTGCTGCTCCTAAGCCTAGAGCCGCACCACCTGCAACTAATCCTGAATACATTATTAACATCGAATAAATAAATCATATAAATTATACCAACCTAATGCAGGTAAAATTACAGATGTTCCTCCAGCAATAGGAGCAATAATGCCAACTTTATCCTCAGCTCTTTGTACATTATGTGCGCCACCAAATCCTAAATTTTGAGAAATTTTTTGGGTTGCTTCTACTATTGGTTCAAAGACAGGCCTGGTCAATTTTTGCATTTTTTGTATGCTGTTTTGCACATTATCCTTGATGCTTTCTGTGATTTTCATCTTGAAAAATAAATTATTAATAAAAATTGCTAGGTACCTACTGTCAATAAATTCTCTCACCCAAAAAGGCTGTTCAGGCCTAGCTTTAATGTAATAAGTATTATATGGATAATTCAAAACATCTTTTTTGTAATAGCTCAAACTATTACTATCACTGTCTGTATAATATCTATTTTGTTGTTGTCGTCCTGTATTAACATCTCCATAAGCTGTATAATCTTTTTCCCTAAAAATTTTTCAATAAAAAAACTTCAAAAAAAAAAATTATAGTCACTCACCTGTACGAGTCTCTAATAGCTCCATTATTGAATTCCTCCTCTTCAGTGGTAGCTTTGGCAGGTTGCACTCCCAACTCTGGATGGGCATATTGCAAAACGGGGGCTCTAACTCCTTCGTTGAAATTAACTGGGCTCAATTTTGTAACACTTGAAGGACTATACATTTGAGATGGAGGATAATACACCTGACTTGTCGGATACGTTAACATCCTTCTTTGAAATTGGCTATTGGGATTTTGAGTGGAAGTTTGAACGTAGTAGGATTCATATGAGTTGCTTTCCAGATTTTGGTTGTTTTGATTATTATAGCTATCATATCCATAATAGTCGTGGTTTTGATTTGGATTGTATGATTTTTCATTTAAATAACTTCCTGTGTAAGTATTGCTTTGATCGACTTGATCATATGATCGATATTTTCTGGGGCTATTGTACTGCTTCTTGATTTCTTTGTCGTTAATTTCTTTGATGTAATCTATAAATTTGATTTTTGTTGACATTTTGTTATTGTCTTCTTTCGTAAATGGACCTAAGCCTCCTGAAAAATTATTAAAATAAATATTTTTGTGAAAAATCGTAGTTGAGGACTTACCAGAAGAGCTAAATTTAACAAATTTACTGTCTTTGGCTTCTTTTTTAGTATCCGACTCGGATGAAATATTATCTTTCACAGTAAATGGACCCAAAGAACTTCTCTTTTTATCATCAAGACTTTTAAAATTGTCTTCCTTGGAAAATGGACCTAGAGCACGTTTTTCATCTTTTTCATTAATTTGACTTGCATAAACCAATTCTCCAACAGGAATTGCTGCCGGTGGCTTATAACCTTTTTCATAGGGGACCAATTCGCCATTGATAACTCTTGCGTTTCTCCAAGTTTTCGTATCGGTGGGATCATCGGGTACTCGAACACCCTGGACAACTGGAATACCATCCTTGTCAAGTTCCATTACAGAACGTGCTCTTTTTTTGTTATCGTTTTTCACGAAAACTTCACTAGATCTGATGTTGACAGGCTTGGGAATCACGTGGGGAATTCTAAAAAAATTTGGAAATTGAAAAGACGATAAAAGAAACACTTTCTTTTTACATATTTATTAAACCACTGCCGTGTTATTGAGTATAATGTTGTAACACGAACACGAAACATCCGCCATCGCCATATAGACATATGGCGATGCTAGTGATGAAACGATTTTGCGAATTTCAAATTAGGCTGTCTGTCGCCGGTACTTATTTTAATAGGAGAAATCTGGATTGAATTTATCACTTTTTTTCATTTATTTATTGGCAATCGGAATTTAGTCTAATTTATATTTATAAATAGTCACAGTATAATCTGCATAATTAATGGAAAGTCACTTAAATTTGTCCATCAATTTCACATTGGGATTCATTAATGAATTTGATTTCTTCACTTTACCTGTCGCTATCAATCACATTCCCTATTCCACCATTACCAGAGGATGTTCTATAATCGCTAGCATTCCGTACGACCGCAATTGAGTCCAATCTCATCAGTTTTTGAGGATGATAATATATTTGAGATAATGGGATCCAATTGGGAGTAAATTTAGATTGTTTGCCATCACTTGAAGAATGTATAGTGTCTTCGTGCGGAAAATTGTAGTCACCGTAAGGATTAACGTCGACTTTTTCGTAGTTTTGATAAGAATTATCTTCACTAAAATATTTTTAAAATAAAAAAGAATGTTTGAAGGATTTATTTATACTTACGTTTTGCCTCTATCCTCCGACCTTCCAATTTCAACAAATCGACTTTTACTCAAATTATCTACACTATTACTTTCTCCTAAATTAGATCTGTCTTTTCTTCTTACTATTAACTGTGCTACACTGCCATCTCTAGTCATTACATTCAATGTTTGAGTTTCATGTGGATTTAAGCTTCTGGATACTTTTAATTCAGTTCTTGTATGGAACGGTACTGCTTTCTTTGGCTGTTCTTCTTCACAAGTAGTTAGGGTGACAAGGAGGGCAAGTGGAAGTATTATCTGAAAGGATTTTTCAATGAATAATAAATTATGTATTTATTAAAACAATCTTGCAAAATACTGGGGGCATATTTATATGAGCTGTGCCATCGGATTATGCATTCTGCTAACCTACACGACAAATTTCACTTGGTAATCACGATAACAAAATTATAATATTTGATGAACGGCCAATAATAAATTTAAACAATTAAACATTCTGTTCATGTGAATAAAATTGATAGTGTAGGTATTTCACCAAAAGCAAATGGATATTCAATTAGAAAAAAAGGAGCATGCAAAACACAATAATTTATTGTCACTCATAATATGATAGCGAATTAACACATTCGTGCACATATGTTTTAGTGTATAATTTTGGTATACTTTCGTTTTCTTTGATGGTATTATTTAATTTTAATATTTTTTAACATGTCGTTCTGTGAAGAAATAAATTATGTATTCAATTAAAGCAAATCTAGATGTATTCATAGGTATGTTTATGTATTTATTTATTATTTATTGGGCAATAAAATGGTTAATGTAGACCATCAAAAAAAATTGTCACCCATATGGCGTGCGGCAGACTAACAGATTACTACACGTACATAGTACACATATAGTTTATTAATTCGGTAATTACTTTCGTTTTCTTGAATATTATATCACTAGAAACTTTTTCAATAAAATCAGATAGATATTTTTCTCTAGAACCTACATCATTATTTTTTTTCGCTTATATTAGCATTATTGAATATGGTTCAAGAAATACTGCTTAAATTATGTAATAATAATATTGTGGACCATCTGTGACTATTAATTGATAAAAACACACCAAGTTCCTAATAAGTATTTATACATTTTTGAAAAACGAAGGAATTAAATGGAACCGATATAACTTGAAATAAATGAAAAATAGAGTAGAATCATACGTATTGTTTGTTTTATTGGCGGACTTTGCCATTTACTAAAATTAATTTCCTATCTTAATTACCATTATAAATCAACAGTCGCCAATATTATAATCTGAATCTAGAGGATAGACATATTACAGTGTCCTCCATAATGTTTGCTACATACGGGGAAATTTTTTATATGTAGGATATGGAATTTTTTCTTATGTGCGATCGATCCTGCATGTCTGATAACTAATCTCAAAGTACATTTTGACATCGATCATGTGATTACTGTTGTGGCAATAAAATAGGAAATACTTGTTTTCCGCCATGGATCTCTTATCAAATAATATTATCAATTTTTATTATTGGAATAGTCCAAGTAGGTACCTCAATACTTTGATGTGTATTGGTAAAACAAACTCAAATTCTTCATTGGAATCATTCCAAAAGAATTTTTAAAAAATATTCGATTAGCACATGAAACTTTTCTGCAGCAATAGCCTGTATCTTGACAGTTAAGTAACGTGCTTTAGAACTGTATTGAAATATTTGATAAAAAATTTCAATAACGGTTCTTGTCAATTGTTGTATCAACAGTAAATTATTGGAAAACTCACAAACTGTCAAGATACAGGGTAGTGCTACAGGAAAGTTGCATGTGTTGGTCGAATATTTTAAACCTAGAATAACTTTTTTCATTTTTTATTGTCAGTGGAAAAGATTTAAAAGCTCTTGAGGTCTCAGAGATTGGATTGTGCAAAGTAATATTTGTTCTCGCATATTCACGGTGAATATTTTCACAATTCCCAACCAAATCCATCAAGATAAGGATTTGGTTGGAAAAAATTAAGACGTTGTTAGATTTTTGCATCTTATTTGTTATTCTGTAAATTAATTTACATTGTTCAATTTTTACAATTTGCTGAATCGTTGGCAGTTTTAAAACTTTACAAAGATCTTCTGTATGAGTACGATATTCTAAGGTGAAAAGATTTTTAAGTAGGTATTTTATTTTGGACCACTTTTATTTTTTTCAAATTTGTCGTAGCACAGGTGCCCCATACAGGAAGAAGATAACTGAGGATAAACAGAACATATGCATTGTATATTTTGTATAAATACATCTGTGAATGGCCGCATTTACTTGAAAAAGTTTTTCTTCCATATAATTAATATGTGCATTTCAGGTTAAATTCTGATCTATAATAAGTCCTAAATACTTAATGCTATCCACTGTTTCTATATTTATATTGTTTATTTTTACATCTATAATTTAATTTTTCTGTTTTATTATCATAACGGGTCTTCAAAAAAAAATCAAATTTTGCTTTGATTACCAAAACGTACGTCGCATTATTGTTTCTTTATTGGTAAGGTTTTTTGAAATAACATTTTGACATTAAACTCCATTAACAAAATTGAAGAAAAATATTGCTAAGACATACGTTTAAAAAACCATAGCAATCTTTGATTGTGTTTTTTTTTTTAATTCTGTGTCCAACATAAAATTACAGTATCATCAGCAAAAGTGTAATATTGTGTCCCCAAACCTGAACACCCCACTTTCGAAGTATTCATTAATTAATTTTACTAGAATGTTAACAATAAGGTTTTAACATTTAAAATATCCAAGACTGTAACATTATCATAGCCGGCAGCCGCATTGCGTTTAAGATTGCCGAGAACATCATTTATTTCAGCCTCATCTGTAGGAAACAAGAAAAAAAAAATCACTTCAAAGATCTCAGAATATGTAAAGTTATCTGGTAGCGCTAGTTTTTCGCTTTCCACGTCCTTTATAATGTGGGGCCCTAATGATTGCAAAATAATTATTTAAAGAATTTATTATTTCTTGGGTTTGAGTGATTTTTTCATCACCTACCTGTAATTCTCTAATATTTTTATCGTTTGAAGATTCCCCTTTAATAAATTTATTAATTATGTTTCAGTGTTTTCTTACTTTATTGCCGGCCCCACCAATACCCAATTTGTTTGAAAATCTAAATTTTTCAAATTTTTTATTTTGTTTTTTATTTAAATTTTCAAAATTTTAAATTTGATGCTGAGACTGTTACTATTTGGATATTTTTTATGTAATAGAAATGCTTGTTTTTTGTCTCGTAGTAGCTTTATTAGTTCAGGAGTTACCCAATTATTGTTTAAATGACATTTGACATATCATATTATCGTCGCTTATCTGACAAATAGGCGTCAGCACCATAAACATCATTTGTAAGAAAAGCAATTTAAAAAAAATGTACCATATACATGGTTCCGTCTCTGTTATTTGAAAGGCAGTTCCAGTGATAATATTTTATATAGACAGATTAATAATAAACATACTTTTTCCAAGTACTATTCGAATTTAATAAATTTCAGGTGAACATGATAAAATATGACTTAGATGGACATACGTCCCTTCGTGGGATCTGAATATTATTATTATCGTACTTATGCCTAGTACTGCACTTAACAAAACATCAGTAATAATCTGTGGTAAAGAACAAAAAAAAAATCCCACTTTATAATGAGACACAAACAAAAGTTAACATTGAAAAAAAAAGTCCCTGTAAATCATAGGAAATAAAATAAACAACTTTATTGTAAAAAAGAAAAATCTTTGTATTTATTTGCTGGGAGTTTTATCTGGCCACTGTTTGATTTGGGTAGGTTTTTGAAGCACATCAGATGGTAGTCTTGGTAGTGGCAGTTTCTGATATTCAGCATCATGGTGAGTTTTTTAAATATTTACTATAGTGATGTCATCTTTGTTTACCATTACCTCCTTAATTTTGGTCCAATCGACATTTTCACCAGAGTCCAGTTTTCTGGTTACACAAAAGTGGATTTTTTCAAAAACCGTGTATGGCCATTTTTTTTCTGGCGAGTTTGAAGATGGGGGGAACTGTGCTGATATATAAATATTTCCCGCGGACCGAATTGCTGTTGCAATAGAACTATGGGCGGAATCATCTTCATTTTGCTCATGATTTGTTTTGAAAAAAGACAATACAATTTCACGTATGTTTTTTGAATTCGCGACAGCTTGTAGTAACATGGTGAAAACGATTGTGTTTTTATTCTGGCCACCACAACCATCTGCGTTTTACTTCTTACTTCTTTGATTTCTTGGTTGTACAGTTGCGTAAATATCTGCCAATGTAGAAATTTCATTGGCAACCCTTTTACTTATAACTTCAGACCAAGAGAAGTACTACGACGACGATAAAACAATGCATTTTCGTTACTTATAGGTAACTGAAACTGAATAACTTGTTGCATGTGAAAAACAGCAGCAGCTATTAAATCTAGGTTGTTTTTGGACATTTCCTTAGCATCCTCCTTCTTTTTGCGCAGTGTTTTTCTCGGCGACATGTGCAGTGCATGCATCTTTGAAGCTCTAATTTTTTATTTGCATCAGCTTCCCTGTACGCATTGGTCCTTCCTGGAATGGTAGAAAGACAGGGGACAGATTCAGTGATTCAAATACTCTACGGTAAGTATGGTAGTTGCATTTTGGCTGCTCCAAGCTCTCTTCTTGGTACAAGTTAAACATTTTCTTCACGTTGTCGGGGTGTAAATATTCTTTTGAAGTCGATTTTCTACAAAAGTGCGACTCCATTTTTGGGAACTTTTGTATGTGCTGAGGATCTCATAACTTCTTCTTTTTGTCGAATTTCTATAACGCAATGCAACACGTTTATCGAACAAAACTCTGCCTTCCACCGTTCTCTTACTTATTGCCGTCCGAACTGCTTTTTCGGAAACTGCCAGTGTGTTCTGAAACGTAATTTCACAAACTGGTAAAGATCCTCTGCCTTTTGGTAAGCAATAAGCCAAAGTCCTTGTTCTTCTGGACTCTGTTGCAGCAGTTTTTCTCCTGTAAACATCATTCTCATTGATATGGCGTACAATGAGCTCCCTCTGTAATTGGAGACTTGGTATTGTAGAAAGCATGAAATATTTTCTGGCGCTCTTGTTCTTCCTTAGTAAACAACTTGCAGCCCTCATTTTTACATTTTTGAGAATCACATCGCGGCTTCATGATTCTTTGCAGAACTTGCTTTTTCAAAAAGGGACTCACGTATGCTGTTCCTTCTGTTCTTAGGGTGCGTGCCATCT